AGTCTTAATTTTGGGTCAGGTCACGATCTTAGGTTTTGTGAGATCGAGCCTGGCATGGGCTTTGTACTGAAGCGTGGAGCCTGCTTGGGATTTTGGCTCCCCCTCTCTCTGCCCTTCCCCCACTCACTTGTTGCTTGCTCTTGCTCTCGCGCGCTCTCTCTCTCTCTCTCAAAATGTTAAAAGAAACCCTAGGAGGTAACCTAATTATCTGATAAATGATGCAGACAGGGAGAGAGAAGTTGGTGAATGTTTTTTGTGCCAGTTACACATGTTTGTGTGTCAACATTTGTGTGCCAATTACAGTTCTATGTGTTTGCAAATGTTAATCACTACAGCTTTCATTTTTGAAAAAAGGAAATTGAAGTTCATTAGTCCAAGACCATACAGGTAGTGAGTAAAGATTTGAACCTAGGTCTGACTGACTCCAGAAACATGCTCTTAAGTGTTCCAAAGGCAATTAAGAGAGTTATAAAGTGATATTGTAAACTGAAGGAAAAAATAGTATCCAGTTGTAGGATCATTAAATTAATGGTATATCTTCACAATGAAAGGTTATATTATCGCTACAAATAATGTGGTTGAGGAGTATTTAGTATCTTAAGTGTTTATGATATGCCAACAAATCGGACAACTTAGAAGAAATGGACAAATTCCTAAACACACACTCACTACCAAAATTCACACAGGAAGAAAAAGAAAACCTGAACAGACCCATAACAAGTGAAGAAATTGAATCAGTGATCAAAAATCTCCCAACAAATAAGAGCGCTGGACCTGATGGCTTCCCTGGGGAATTCTACCAGACATTTAAAACAGAATTAATCCCAATTCTTCTCAGGCTATTCCAAAAAATAGAAATCGAAGGAAAATTCCCGGACTCATTTTATGAAGCCAGCATCACTCTGATTCCCAAGCCAGACAGAGATCCAGCAAAAAAAGAGAACTACAGGCCAATATCCTTGATGAATACGGATGCAAAAATCCTCAACAAGATCCTTGCAAATCGAATCCAGCAGCACATAAAAAGAATCATCCAGCAAGATCATTCCTGGGTTATAGGGCTGGTTCAACATTCGCAAATCAATCACTGTGATACATCACATCAATAAAAGAAAAGATAAAAACCATATGATCCTGTCGATAGATGCAGAAAAAGCATTTGACAAAATACAGCATCCCTTCTTAATAAAGACTCTAGAGAAAGTTGGGATAGAAGGAACCTACTTAAACATCATCAAAGCCATCTATGAGAAGCCTTCAGCTAACATCATCCTCAACGGGGAAAAACTGAGAGCTTTCCCCCTGAGATCAGGAACACGACAGGGATGTCCACTCTCACCACTGTTGTTTAACATAGTGCTGGAAGTCCTAGCATCAGCCATCAGACAACAAAAGGAAATCAAAGGCATCAGAATTGGCAAAGAGGAAGTCAAACTTTCACTCTTCGCAGATGACATGATACTCTACATCGAAAACCCGACAGACTCCACCAGAAGCCTACTAGAACTGATCCAAGAATTCAGCCAAGTTGCAGGGTACAAAATCAACGTACAGAAATCGGTTGCATTTTTATACACCAACAATGAAGCAACAGAAAGAGAAATCAAGAAACTGATCCCATTCACAATTGCACAAAAAACCATAAAATACCTCGGAATAAACCTAACCAAGGATACAAGAGATCTGTATGATGAAAACTATAGAAAACTTATGAAGGAAATTGAAGAAGACACAAAGAAATGGAAAAACATTCCATGCTCATGGATAGGAAGAATAAATATAGTTAAGATGTCATTACTACCTAAAGCACTCTACACATTCAATGCAATTCCAATCAAAATTGCACCAGCATACTTCTCAAAACTAGAACAAACTATCCAAAAATTTGTATGGAACCACAAAAGACCCCGAATAGCCAAAGTAATACTGAAAAATAAAACCAAAACGGGAGGTATCACCATCCCAGACTTCAGCCTCTACTACAAAGCTGTCATCCTCAAGACAGTATGGTATTGGCACAAAAACAGACACATAGACCAATGGAACAGAATTGAGAACTCAGAAGTGGACCCAAAAGTATACAGCCAACTGATCTTTGACAAAGCAGGAAAGAATATCCAATGGAAAAAAGACAGCCTTTTTAACAGATGGTGTTGGGAGAACTGGACAGCAACATGCAGAAGAATGAAACTAGATCATTTTCTCACACCATGCACAAAAATCAACTCAAAATGGATAAAGGACCTGAACGTGAGACAGGAAACTATCAACACCCTAGAGGAGAAAGCAGGAAACAACCTCCTTGACCTCCACCGCAGCAACTTCTTACTTGACACATCCCCAAAAGCAAGGGAATCAAGAGCAAAAATAAACTGTTGGGACCTCATCAAGATTAAAAGCTTCTGCACAGCCAAGGAAACAACCCAGAAAATTAATAGGCAACCAACGGAATGGGAAAAGATAGTTGCAAATGACATATCAGATAAAGGGTTAATATCCAGAATCTATAAGGAACTCACCAAACTACACGCCCGAAAAACAAACAACCCAGTGAAGAAATGGGCAGAAGACATGAACAGACACTTCTCCAAAGAGGACATCCAGATGGCCAACAGACACATGAAACGATGCTCAGCATCCCTCCTCATCAGGGAAATACAAATCAAAACCACACTGAGATACCACCTCACGCCAGTCAGAGTGGCTAAAATGAGCAAATCAGAGAACTCTAGATGCTGGCGAGGATGTGGAGAAACGGGCACCCTCCTACACTGTTGGTGGGAATGTAAACTGGTACAGCCCCTCTGGAAAACAGTGTGGAGGTTCCTCAGGAAACTAACAATAGAACTCCCTTATGACCCAGCAATAGCACTGCTAGGAATTTACCCAAGGGATACAGAAATGCTGAGGCATAGGAGCACATGTACCCCAATGTTCATAGCAGCACTCTCCACAATAGCTAAAACATGGAAAGAGCCTAAGTGTCCATCAACAGATGAATGGATCAAGAAGATGTGGTTTATCTATACCATGGAATACTACATGGCAATGAGAAAGAATGAAATCTGGCCATGTGTAGCAACATGGATGGACCTTGAGGGTGTTATGGTGAGCGAAATAAGTCAGAGGACAAATATCATATGCTTGCACGTATAGGAGGATTAGGAGGAACTTAACTGAGGACCATGGGGGAGAAAAAAGGGGGAAATGGTGGGGGAAAGGGAGAGAGGCAAAACCATGACAGACTCTTGAATGCTGAGAAACAGAGGACTGATGGATGTAATGGGGAGGGGGGAGATGGGCATGGAGGAGGGCACTTGTGGGGATGAGCACAGGGTGTTATATGGAAACCAATTTGACAATAAACCTTTTGTAAAAAAAAAAAAGTGTTTATGATATAACGTGTAGAACTAAAAAGCAGTATATAAAAGTGTGATTCCATTTTTTTTTAACATGCATATATTTTTGTGTAGAAAAGATTGGAAGGAAGTACATGAAATGGTTAGTGGTAATCCAGAGTCTGGTATTACAGACTGTATGCATTTCTTCTTTGTAACAGTGTGTTTTTCAAATTCTGTACAGTGAACATACTCTTTTATAATCAGAACAAAAGATAATTTAAAAAATAAAGGAGTAAGAAAAAAGCAGAAATTAAAGTCTTAGAATTATTAAAGTTAGAAATGTTTCGTGTTGACCTTCCATGCCTCTGAGGTGGAACTGGCGTAAGCCTCCCAGGCAGATTAATGTTCCTATTTTAAGATCATCTCACTAGGATGAGCCACTCTCCCTCTGCCTTCCTGTCCGTTCTGTTGCCCGGTAGCAGGTGGAAAAGGAGTTTTCTCTGTATATTATTTCATGAAGACAAGGTCATGAGAGAAACTCCCATGTGGGAATTTTCATTATATAAAGATACTTTTTCTAAAACAAGGGCCAAATTTAATGCTTCTGCCTGGGCTTTATGCTTTACTTCCTATAAGCACTGCTTAAGAGGAATCAAAAGAGAATAGAAAAACTTGGGTTTCCTATTAGTTTTCCATTTATTCTATGCATGATGTATCTCTGTTCTTCCTCTGGGTGGCTATTTTTGTACCATAGCGTGTGTGACTGTTCTCATTGGGATTTAGCACACTCTAGTGGACAGTAACTTCTCAGTTTTGTTGGGCTCTTTAAAAAAATCATGTCAGATTATTTTATTGGACAATTCAGTGATATGCTTACTAGATAGTAAAGTTTGTCAGTATTTATTTGAGTCAGGTAGTGATCCAGGAGAGCAGGACTGACTTTATAGGCCCCTGGGTGTTGTACATTATTATGTTTTTTTCAGTAGAGAGAAGAAAGGCGTTTTACCTTATGTGGAAGCTTTCCCATTGGCTTTCATCTTTTCTTCGGTTGATTAAAGAGGCAGAGCTGAAATAAAAGCATTTGTTTGGGATCTCAGAATTGCATCTTGGGGAGCACAGATTTGGGTAGCAACTCATATTGTGTCCCTTTAGGGTACAAAAATCCAGGGTTTAACAAGACAAAAAGGAATGTTTTGTTGTTGTTGATAAATAATTTTGTTTGGTGTTGGCAGCAGAAAATCTTGTCTGAATATAATTGGTTGCTAAGTCTATCCCAAGCAGAATCTCCCTATAGCAAGTTGCAGGTGTTTGGGCAGAGTCCTTAGAATATTTGTAGTTTGGTCCAGCTCAAAGTTTGTGGTTTCATCCCGTCATCTCCTTAATGGGCTCCGGCTCCATTTAAAAGATCCCTTCGCGTAAATTATTCCATTTCATTTCACCTTTCCCACATGGGTAAAATGAAATTGATGGGCCAAGACACTGGTAGTCTTTCTGTACTTCACACCCCTTGGGACTTTTAGGACTCTTGAGAATTTTTATATAACACTTGTGGGAAAATTTGACCATTTGTGCACAAACATGGTAGTAGCCTGTCCTGATGGATTGCTCTTGGAAATAGGCTTCCACCAGAAAAAGTAATTTTTAATTTTGTTTTTGCAGAGTGATGGTGAAGATTTTAATTACATTGTTGCATTTTTCCTTGGAACAGCAGCCTGCCTTTACCAGGTAGGTTCTCTTCAATTTTTAAGAAACACTTTACTGTTATTATTTGTTTTAGGTATCAATCTTAATAACTGCTTGTATACTTTAAATAAATGAAAATAATGTCTGAGTTCTTTGCCTCTCTTTTTATTGAACCTGTTAGCTTTGAGACCTACATCTCCATTGTGAATGTAGTTAGATCCCAGTGAACTTCATGTGAACTCCCTCCTGTGCCTGCTTTCAGTGGCACCGTGTCATCTGCCTGTAGGGATAAAGGCTAGTTCTAGATGTTTTTTGGTGATTGATTACTCAGCTCCAGGGCTCTGCTTGTACTTCACCATGAGGATTTGTACTTTGGGAAAGTCTTTGAACAGGGAACAGCAAAAACAGGATTTTAGGATATTTAATGTAGTAGTGAGGAATAGGATGGATTGCCAGAGTAGAGAAATTAGAAGAAAGGACATTAGTTGGGAGGTGATTCTGTTACTTCAGGCAGAAGGCAATGAAAGTGTAAATTCTGGTAATGATGGTAGGGATGGGGGAAGGACATTGAGGAGGAAGACTCCTCGGACTTGAAGACAGGGTAGATATGAGGCTTAAAGGGCACAGAGATTTTGCAGCTGGTAATAAGGAAATGGGTATTGTTATTTCTAAGGGAGCAAGCACAGATTTGTAGGGAGGGGAGGGATAACCATGACACTTACCCAAACCTGGGAATGTCTTTGCTGAAACATGGTAGAGCAAGCAAGACCTTTTGACCTAACTTTTATAAGTGACACATTTCTTTGGCTTACCTAGAAAAAATGTTAGAAAACTTCAGGACTGAAAATATAAGGCTACCTAAAACTCAGTAGAAGTCGTCTTTAGTGAAATACTTTGAATATATACATTTGACTTGACGTAAAGATGGATTAAAAATTTTAGTTTCAGAGGCACATGAGACGCTCAGTCAATTGAGCATCTGACTGGCTCTGGTCATGATCCCATGGTTTGTGAGTTTGAGCCCTGCGTTAGGCTTGTTGCTGTCAGCACAGAGCCCGTTTCAAATCTTCTGTTTACCTCTCTCTCTGCCCCTCCCCTACTCAACATTCTCTCTCTCTCAAAATAAGTAAACATTAAAAAAACTTTTTTAGTTTCAAATGGCCCTATGTTCTAAACTCCTCAAATTTTCTGAATTATTTGTATTTAAAAATTTTCTAGGGGTACCTGGGTGGCTTAGTCGGTTAAGTGTCCAACTTTGGCTCAGGTCATGATCTCACAGTTCGTGGGTTGAAGCCCCATGTCGAGCTCTGTGCTGACAGCTAGCTCAGAGCCTGGAGCCTGTTTCAGATTCTGTGTTTCTTCTCTCTCTTTCTCTCTCTCTCTCTCTGACCTCCCCTGCTCATGCTCTCTCTCTCTCTCTCTCTCTCACACAAATAAATAAAAAACATTAAAAAATTTTTTAAATAAAAAATAAAAATTTTCTATCCAGTTTGACAGATTTAATTATAATGAGTGACATTTCATGCAAGAAATATGAAAACTTGTATTTGTTAATGTCACAAGTGGTTTAATTTTATGAAATATTCCTGTGTAGATTTAAATTTTTTTAAATGTTTTATTTATTTCTGAGAGAGAGAGAGAGAGCGTGAGCAGGGGAAGGGCAGAGAGAGAGGGAGACACAGAATCTGAAACAGGCTCCAGGCTCTTAGCTAGCTGTCAGCGCAGAGCCCGATGCAGGGCTTGAACCTACGAAACGTAAGATCATGACCTGAGCCGAAGTCAGGCACTTAACCGACTAAGCCACCCAGGCGCCCCTCCTGTGTAGATTTTTAAAAACTTTTATTTCTATTATCACACAGAGGATATTATCTCGTTTTTGAAAATGAGAAATCTGAGGCAGTCTGAGTACTATCTAGAGATCACATAGCCAGTAAGTGCTGAAGTCAGGACTTCACTCTAGGTCTTCTGATTTTAACAGTTGTATTCATTCCACTATCATATGCTATCTGTAAGCAAAATTCCTATATTTGTATAATTTTTATAATGCTATACAATTATAATTTAATGACATATGCATTACTTCATATTCTAAAACAATGTGAGGTAAATGTTAACTTTAAAATAATTTCATGAGCAATTCTTGTAAAACGTACTTTTGGCTGTTTTGCCTTAATGAAATAATTTTAAATACTACTAATAGCGAAACGTATTGAGCTCTTATGTGTGCTAATAAGTCCTTTACATTCCTTGTACCATTAAATCTTCACAGAAAGTCGCACACTAATGTTACTGTTGCCATTTTTCAGTGAGGCCCAGTCAGTTCTTACAGCTGGTTAGTGACTTGAACACCAGTCTGTGGGACTCCCGTGCAGCACTGTTGCTTGTAGAGCGGCACACCTCTGCCACGTTTCTCAGAATAGCTGAAAATAGTTCCAAGGGGAGCATTGTCGCTCAGATGTTCTTTTACTAGAGAGAAGTTAAACAAATTCATGCTTTCAAAAAAGGAAAGCAGTAAGCCAGTTTTCTTCTTACTTACAGACATGAAACTGCAAGCTTTCCACATAAGCTGAGCAGAGTGATAATACTAGTTTTTTCCACAGTGAAACATGTGATTACATTTTACCATATAACATGCTCCATCTGCAGTTGTCAGGATGTTTTTTAATCCTCTTTAGATGAGACCTGAACATTTGAAATAAGGTATCAAAGGACCTAGAAACTAGAGACTATTCTTTTTCCCCCTCAGTGCTTTACCTTGAAAACTTTCAGCCTTCCAGAAAAGTTGAAAGACTGGTACACTTAGAGCCACCACTTATTAACACTTTGCAGCACTTCTTGTATCTCATTCTTTTTGTACGTGTATGCATATAGTCTGTTTGTTAGTTGTTTATAAAGCAAGTTGCAGACAAATACATTGAGTATAAAGTTGGTTTCCTTATTAAACTTTTTATTTTGAGATCATTATAATTGTTGTAAGAGAGATATATAACCTTTACCTGGTTTCCCCTAGTAGTACCAGCTTATACAACTATAATACATTATCACAATTTATGTGTGTAGAGTTGGTTATAGCATTTCCTTACTATCCTTTTGGTGTCTGTAGGATCTATAGTGGTATTTCTGTTTCATTCCTCATGTTGGTAATTTGGATCTTCTCTTTTACTCTATCAGTCTTGTTAATTTCATTGATCTCTTCAAGGAACCTGCTCTTTGTTTTGTGGTTTTTTTGTCCGATACTCAATTTTATTGATTTCTGCCCTTTTATTATTTCCTCCTTCAAGCTTGCTTTGGTTTATTTACTTGGCTCTTCTTTTTCTAGGTTCTTGAGATGGAAGCTTAGATAATTGAGATTTTTCTCTTTTGTAATATATACATTTAGTGTTATAATTTCCCTTCTGAGAACTTTATTATATGTGTGTTCCATAAATTTTGGTATATTGCATTTTTTCTATTTTTTAAAATTTTTACTTTTTTTCAAGTTTTTATTAATTCCAGTTAACAGAGTGTAATATTAGTTTCAGGTGTAGAATTTAGTGATTTAATTGCTTACAGCACCCAGAGCTCATCACAAGTACCCTCTTTAATACCCATCATCTGTTTAATGCATCCTCCCACCCACCACCCCTCCAGAACCCTCAGTTCTGTCTACTAAGAGTGTTTTTCCTGGTTTGCTTTTCACTGCCCACCTCCATGTTTATCTGTTTCTTTTTTAAAATTCCAAATATGAGTGAACTCAAATGGCATTTGTTTGATTCTGACTTATTTCATTCTTTTTTATGGCTGAGTAATAGTAATATTGCATTGTTTGGATACACCACAGTTTCTTTATCCATTCATCAGTCAGTGGATAGTTAGGCTCTTCCATAATTTGGCTGATATGCTGTATTTTTATTTTCATTTAATTGAATGCATTTTAAATATTTTTTCCTTGTGGCTTCCTCTTTGACCTATGGATTATTTAGAATCTTCCAGTACTTTGGAGATTTTTCAGTTTTCTTCCCATTATTGATTTCTAGTTTGATTCCACTGTGTTTGCAAAACACTGTGTGATTTAGTTCTTTTAAATTTGTTGAAATTTGTTCTGTGGCTCAGAATATGGCCTGTCTTGGTATATGTTCCACGGGCACTTAAACAGAATGTGTATTCTACTGTAACTGAGTACGTGGTTTATAATTGTCAGATAGATCATGGTGGTCGACGGTGTTCAGCTTTTCTGTATACTTGTTGATTTTCTATCTAGTTCTATCAGTTGAGAGAAAAGTATTGAAGTTTTCAGTTGTAACTGTGGATTAGTATATTTCTCATTTCAGTTCTATCAGTTTTTGCTTTGCATATTTGTGTAGCTCTGTTGTTTGGTTCATACACATTTAGGATTGTTGCCTTCTTAGTGGATTGATCTGTTTATCATTATGTATCATTATATAAAATATATATTATTTTCTAGCCCTCTCTTTTCTTTTTTGAAGTATTTTTATATTTATCTGATATTAGTATAACCATTCCTGCTTTCTTTTGATTAATGTTTGCATGTAATATATCCTTCTCCATCTTTTTACTTTCATCTTGCCTATGTTATTTGAAGTGAGTTTCCGGTAGACAGATTAAAAACTGTTTTTAATCTGCTCTGCAAATCTCTGTTTTTTAATTGTTGTATTTAGGCCATTACATTTAATATAATATTAGGGCTTAAGTTTGCCAACTTATTTTTCTGTTTTTCATTTTTCTGTTTTCTTTTTCTTGCCTTCCTGTGGGTTACTTGAATGTTTTTGTAGAACTCCATTTTGATTTATCTGTAGTGGTTTTGAGTTTATCCCTTTGTATAGCTTGCAAATGGTTGCTCTAGGTATTGCATTACACATACTTAGCAAATTTTTGGTTTTGTCATTTTACTAGCTCAAGTGAAACATAGAAATTGTATCTCCTTTTATGTCCCTTTGTCCTCCCTCCATTTATACTTGTCTTATATATTTCCTCTGCATACATTTAGAACCACATCAGACAGCGTTATTAATTTTTACTTCAGCCATCAAACCTAATTAGAAATCTCAAGAGGAGAGGGAGAACCTATTACATTTATCTGTATTTTTGCTGACTGTGCTTTTTGCTTTCCCAGTGTTCAGGGCTGCTGCTTTTAGTGTTTTCTTTCTGCTTAGAAAACTTCCTTAAGTCATCCTTTTAGGGTGCATCTGTGGGTGTCAAATTCTTAGTCTTTCATCGAGAATGTCTGTATTTCTCTTCCCACAATATACGTATTAATTACAGAGGGAAAAATAGTACTTCACAGTGGAGAAACCTCTTAGACCCCACCTTACCAAGAGGTCAAAATTAGCATCACCAATTATAAGTTACATTGCACAAAACCTCATATTCTTGCCCAAACTGCATATCTTCAATTCAGTCTTGAGACAGTGTCAGGCAAACTAAAATTAAGGGACATTCTACAAAATAACTTCCTACAAAATAATTGATACTCTTTAGATTGTCACGGTCATGAAAAACAAAGACTTGAGCTATAGCAGATTTGAAGAGAGAGGACAGCTGAATGCAGTAGGGAATACTGAAATGTGGACCAGAAAAAGAGCCCTAGTGGGACAACTGACAAAATTCCAATGAGGTCTATAGTCTACAGTATTGTATCAATGTTAATTTTCTGGTTTGATGACTGTACTGTGGTTATGCAAGAGGATAACTTTAAAGGGAACAGGGTGAAGGGTATACAAGAACTTACTGTGAGTAAGTTCTAAGTCTAAAATTATTTCAAAAGGAAAAATTACTTTTCCAACTTTTTTTACACGATGCAAAATAACTCAGATAAGTGCTTCCAGTTTATTTTGCTTGGATAGCAGTCTTCTTTTTAAGTAAGCAAAGTCCTAATTTGTGTAAGAACAGATTTAACAGAACATATCCACATTCTCTGTGCATTGTTGCAAACACCTTAAAGTCCTTCCTGTACTGAAGCCTAGGTGCAGTTTCACGCAGAGACCTATGCTTCTTTATTAAGACTTTGTAATCATACATAATTCCTATAGTTAAGAGATTGTGAATTTCAGATCTCGTCTAGAAAACAGTTTACTCAATCAGCAAATCTTTATTGAGCACTTACTATGCTGCAGGCACTGTTCTGGGCACTGGAGATAAATTAGTGAACAAGACAATCAGAAATCTCTCCTCTCATGAATATTGATAACAAACAAGACAAGCATATTTTAAAAGTGTGTTTATAGTTATATTGTGGAGAAAAATAAAGCAGGAAAAGGTGAATACCAGGATTTGGGGGGTGGGAGAGTACTTTCCTTACTATATTTTCTAAAATAGCACTCATTATATGCTCTGTCCCCTTTTCAGCCTTTTATTTTAAGGGATAACTATTTAATATTTTATATTCTCTATCTAATCTTTTTTATGTATATAATCTTTCTTCCTCCACAAGAATGTAAGCTCCCTGTGAGCAAGGGCTTTATTTGGTTACTTGAAACTAGAGAACAATGCCTGACTTGTAGCAGGCCCTCAATAAGCATCTGTTGAATGAATTCTAGCTCAAATGTTCACTCAGATCCTCTACCTTGCTTAGTTCCTTGCGCTTAATGTGGGATCAGTAAATATGTGTTGATTTCATTAATATGCAGATTCAGGTTATGTAAGAGTCCATTTTGCTATGGTTTGTTTGAATATTTTGTACTTTTCTGGGGTGAGAATGAGAGATGGAATCCCCTTAGACTTTGAGAATGCTTCAGAGTTGCCTGTCCCCTTGAGGAATGTGTTCAGGCTGTTGGCAAGGGAGTTATCCAATTGTAACTCCATTTTACATGTGATAGAAAATGTTTTATCTTTTGACAAATTAAAAACATTAAAGGAAAAATCTGTTTTCTTTTCAGGCTGTACAGCTTTCATAGCTGAATGTCTTAAAGATGTTACATTATCTTATCTGTAGATGAAAAATCCCCTCATATTTTACTCCCTGGCCTGTTAATATTTTATAATAGAAGCATCTATTTCTTTTCTTGTAACCCTAATCGTCTTTCATTTTATATTTTGAACAGTGTTATTTACTTGTCTACTACACCGGCTGGAGGAATGTCAAATCTTTTTTGACTTTTGGTTTAATCTGTCTGTGCAACATGTATCTCTATGAACTGCGCAACCTCTGGCAGCTTTTCTTTCACGTGACTGTGGGAGCTTTTGTTACACTACAGATCTGGCTAAGACAAGCCCAGGGCAAGGCTCCTGATTATGATGTCTGACACCATCCTTCAGACGTACTGCCTTGGCTTCTGGGGGAAAAGGAGGGAGCATATTTAACTGCCACTGTGATGAAGAAACTGTTCACCACAATCGAGAAGCTCTGCTTTTCTTTTTCTCCAACTATCCTTTTTGTTTCAAGTCAGCATGGCATGCCTGGGAGCATGCAATACCTGCTAGGCAAACTCTTCATATTAGCCTTGAAATTATTATTCAGAGGAGGAGGAGATTCTCTCTACAGGGCCATGACAGGGGAAGAACAGTCAGATGCCCTTGGAAGACTTGGCCAGCAGTCCTGAATCCTTCTGAAGAGTTCAATCAAAAACTGTATGTGGTACGTGCTCCGAGGACCGAGTGGGAACTCTACAACCTGGGTTTGCCTTTGTGAGGCATGAGTATAGACCAAATAAAAAGATGCCATGAAGTTTATATTTAAAACAACGTGCTAAATATCAGATTATTTGTACATTTATGGTACCATGAGTTTATGAAGTCTAGGATGGTGTGGAATTGGTTCTTTTCATGCTATATTTTTGCTTGAATCTTAACTCTGGAAATCACATGATGTGTGAGAAAGCTGTTAGAAGCTCATCTCTAGAACATCACAAGTATTGAAGACACAGTAACGTATGTTTCCTTTCTAGACCATGTTTGTACTTTCCTCTGAAATCACTGTTTAAAAATGTGGCTTGTTAAATTATAGCCATTGTTTCCCAAACTTCAATCACTTAAGTATTACATATAGTATTATTTCATAATATTTATCTTTAAACTTTAAAATATTGTGAAAACAAACTAATCCTCTACTCCAAGAGGAAAACCGGCATCAATTTACCATGAATAAAAGGTAACTACAAAATAAAATTAAAACAAGAAATGGTATTAAATTCTAACTAGATACTAATGTCTGCTAAGGCTCTGAATCCAGGAAGCCTGCTCTGTGTTGCAGTGAGAGAGATGTTACCCAGCACCAAAATGGGGCTCGCTCTGTGGGATTATCAGAAGGATGAAAGAAAACTGTGAAGGGAATGACATTCTCACTGTGATTTTGCATTGTTTAGTTCTATGTTGTATACCACCCACCTAAAGTCCTCCTGTGTGCTACACTGCTCAGTGGGGACACTGAACTTGTACTAAGAGAATCAGAGGGTAGCTTCTCCCAGAAACTCTTATCATTTTATGGCTTTGAGGAGTTCACCTAATATCTTAGAGAACTTGTTTGCTTTTTGATAATATTATAAAAATTGTTCAAGCAGTTATGAATTAATAATATAGGAAGCACAGTTTGATTCCATTAGCAAAATCTACAACTCTCTTGGTTTTGGAAGTTAACTTCATTAATAATTTTCTTTTGTTTTTAGAGAAAAGATTCCAAATAAGGAATACATAATGCATTAAAATTTAATAGCCAGAAAACAGTGGACCCATTACATATAATTCATGTTACTGGGCATATTTATTAAGCAGAAGAAGTAGTCCGGAAGGGTAAAGTCCTTGAACTACCATGTTTGCTTGAACCTGTATATGTAGGTATGCCTGCAACTGTAAAAATCTTGCTAAACTAGAACTTTTTGCTGCACTCCCCTTTTAGGGGAATGAGGCAGAAGGAAGACCATAAGCTTGTAATATCAGGGATTTATTTAAAACAGAAAACTCCAGTTCACTTCATTTTTTCTGCCTCTGAGAAAACTGCACAGAAATTATATGTATTCTGAGAGCTACCCCAAGATGCACCCCATGATCCTGACTCATCAAAGTAAAACTGATTTATGATTGGCATTTTGTACTTACTGAGCCAGGAAAGTGAAGTGGTTAAGTGTAGAAAGATTTTTCTGAACTACTTGTTAAAACAAGAGGAATTCTCTTGTAAATAGCCAATTAACCAAGAAGTTGGAGCATTCTAGTTAATTGTGATCTTGCTGTATATTGATACTTAATAGCTCTCTTACCAGTTTGGTTCAGTTTGGTTCTTCTTATCATTGAATTATTGAATTATAGTGTTTGGTGTTTTGGATCATTCAGCAAGGACACTTGAAAACTCACCAGCTGTTTCATTTGTTTTTTGTTTTTGTTTTTCTCTTTTTTGGATAATGGGATGTTTACATCTTAATGTAAAAAATGAGACAGGTATAAATAATATTTTATGTATAGAAATGCTTTCTTTTCATTATTTGGTATCTGCATTGCTGAGTGTTTCTATAACTGCTCTATCTTGTTGCCAAAGAAATTATGAATTTGGACTGAAAATTTTTTGCCATTGGTATAAAGTTTTTAAGCTCATTAGGCTTCTAATGTGATAATAATACTGCACTTTTACTACTAAGAGCAGTTCTGCATTTACCTCATCATAATGAGTGTTTTCCTGGAAGTGGAGAATTAGTTGTCCTCTTGTTATGAAGGAGGAAACTGAGGTAATCAGATGTTAATGACTTATCTAGGGTCACAGCTCTGAGCACATACAACTTCTAATCCCTTAGTCTTGGGGCCCTGCCTCCCCCAGAGTGGGGACTCACGGAGATAACTAAGGTTGTACTCAGGGAATAGATCTGTTCTTGGTAAAATCAGGGAATTGGGGACTTAATGACCTGAAGCCTGCTAGTGTCAACTCTAGGTGTCTATTAAGGTAACTCTGAAATACTGCTTTTTCTTATTAAGGTATTCTAAAAGTAATTACAATTTTTGCTTGCATTTTTGGTCTGTATTTGAAATGTATGTATACCTACCCTGTTTCCCAAAAACAGTTGAAGCACCATACCAAAATAAGACAAATACAACAACAGTAACTATGAACAGAAAGGGAGAAACACAACATCAGTGAAAATGAAAGGTGAACATGTTGCTGTTAATAAGTGTGAAATATGACATTTAAACTTCCTGGAAATCGTGGCTAGAAGGGAAACAAGTTTCTCATTGCTCTAGCTCTGTCTGTAAGAGTATACCAGTTCCTCAGGGAGGATTTCTTCTTGAGGGATTCTGGTAGAAAGGTTCACGCTTGGGGGTTCTTTAAAATGCTAAAATGAACAAAATCCTCAATGGTTTTAGCTGCTTGCATATTAATAATTGTGCCTTGATCCTCAACTTGTACTGTCTTTCAGAGGCTTTCATTTAAGGAATTTTAGTGTAATTGATAGAGGATTTTGTTCGCATAAGGAAGAGTTCTTCTAAGCTAAAAATAGGTATGTGTTAAAGCTTGAAAATCCATCTGAGACAAATGCCTAGAGACATGGAGAACCTTTACCTAATTTTGTCATTTTATAATTCATATAAAGTTAATGTGCTCTCCCTGGATTAGCACATTTGTTTTGTATTAAATGTGGCCTTTTTCACAGTAGAATTTATTCTGGAGAAATGGCTGGCTCCATTTCTTTTAGGCCATGTCTGGATTAGACCTGATGTGTCGAGACTTCACAGACCAGATTTGTCATACGAGCTTTAACCTCCATGTCACAGAAGTGCTTCCTGCTGAGTTTAGCCACTCACCAAAATGGGAGTTGCTTGGCTTTATTCCCAAAGTTTTACTAAGTAACCTAGGGCCCCCACTCCCAGCTGTTGGAGCAAAATGTGTGTGTGTGTATGTGTGTATGCGCACGTGGTGTTATTTTAACAAACTTTTAGTTTATTTTAAGTTAGAGCTGTCATGAACTATATAGTAGAACAACAAATAAATTGCACTTGACCTTAAATAAAGCAGGGGTTAGGGGCACCAACCCCTCCCTAGTGCAGTCAAAAATCCACGTATAACTACTTAACTACTAATAGCCTACAGCTGACCAGAGCCTTGCTGATAACATAAGCAGTCAATTAATAAATATTTTGTGTATGTATTATAAACTGTGCTCTTACAGTGAAAATCTTAAGATCATAAAGAAGAGAAAATACATTTATAGTACTGTAGTTATAAAAAAGTCCACATGTCAGAGTGCCTGGGTGGCTCAGTCAGTTGAGCGTCCAACTCTTGATCTCAACTCAGACCTTGATCTCAGGGTTGTGAGTTCAAGCTCTGCATTGGGCTCAGTATTGAGCATGAATCCTACTTAAAAAAATGTTCACGTTAGTGGCCCCACACAGCTCAAAATTGTATTGTTCAAGGATCAACTGTATTTCAAAAGCAGGCACCACTCAGATCAATTGAATACTTTAGCCTTACCACAAATTATAGGTAATTCTTCAGGGCTTCCATCTTTGTCTATGGTCAATCCTTCTTTGTATTTTTCTGCTTTATCATCTCAAAGGAAATGCTGTAGTAAAACTAAACCTAATTTTTCATTTTGATTGGCTTTAATAATATGCTACTTAAAAGTTAATAAAAGAAACCCCTTCAACTCCAAGAGTTATGAATCAGCTTGATATGTAAAGGTTGTGTTGGTTGAGAATTTTAACTCTTCTAGTCTTATTGGTTAGGGTTAGAAATGTCAGATCATCTTCATCAGTGCTCTGAGACTGCTGTTGAATGCTGGCATATTACAGCCTCCTATTTGAGCAGTGAACTTTTCAAAGAGAAGCAGTGTCTGTGGCTTCTACTCTTGTAACACCTTCCTTGAGTGGCCAAGTTTTCTGGATTACTCTATTTTACAAGATGAAGTCACACTGCTGAATGCACTGTTGAATGCACTGTGTGGTTGGAAGCCATGTGGCTTGTATCCTCCTTGTTTGTGAACAGGGAATGCAGTTGACGTGTGTGTACATGTTTTCTTCTGCATTGGCAGTGCCGGTATATAATAAGTAGTCTTAGCACAATTGGAGGCTGTAGGGAACTCCACGAGAGAACAGGCTTAATTTTTGAAGAGTTCCTGAAATCAGTACTCTGGCCTTATGAATTGTTCCTATTTCCTTGGTAACAAACAGTGTATTTTCAGCCCCCCTCACCCACTGTTCATATTTACCCTTTTTTCCTGCATCCCACAGCACAGCAGTGCAAGTGTCATTGAACAGATACATATTCAGGCTCCATCTGAGAGTAGGAAACAGGACTCAAAAATTCTGTTTCCCATTTGGTCCTGGCAGCCCCTCCCTAGCTCTGCCTTCATTGTTTGCCTGCTTAGTGCCAGTGGTTTTCTGTGAGGGTCGGGTATCAGGGACCTTGCAAACAATATTTGGCCTTCTACTTTGAATTCCTCTAGTGCCTGGGACTAATGATAAGAATTCTTAACACTTTTTGTGGGCCAGGGCTAGGTCCTCATACACGGTTAATCCTTATGGCAGCCTGGGGTGGGCAGGGAGGCACTATGAACTATCTCATGTTCACTTGAGGAAACAGATTTACATTCAAACCTGAGATTTGGGCTTAAATGATTCAAAAGTTGGTGTTCATTTTTCTGTGCCGCAGAATCTCAAAGAATATTCTTCGTGTGTATGTTACTGACAACCTCTGGGCTCTTACTGTTCTAGCAGCAGTGAGAACAAACAAAGCTGACATGGTGGGGAAGTGACACTGTGTACAATAAGCCTTTCATTCTTACAGAAAGCCTTTCTGTAAGCTTTCTTTTTCATGGAGTACCTGAGGCCTAAAGAGGTTAAGTCACTTGACCTCAGTCAGTCTTGCCACCAGTCTTGGTGGCACCAAGATTTCAGTCCAGATCAGTCTTAGAACTCATGCATGCTCTTAAGCACCATGTAATATGAAGCTAGACAACATGGAAATATGTTGAAATACATAAAGAATAGAGTCTTGGACTCAGACTCCCTGGCTCTCCCTTCTACTGGCATTGTGACCTCAGCAAGTCATGTAGCCTCTCTGCCTCCATTTCCTCATCTGTAAAATGGGGATAATAATAGTTTACCTTGGGTAAAGTGTTGCTGTATTGAATGAGTCCATAAATAGAAAGTACTTAGAGCCTGGCACACTGACTGCTCAGGCAGCGTGGTCATGTTGGGTTCCATCTTGTTGGTGTTGCTATTACTTTCAAGGTAGTAAGTCTTTTACATTGCAAATGCCCCTAAATATAAGTCATTATACAGAGTTTTTCAGGGATCGGCAGCTCAGAGAGGATCCTGTTGAACTGTCTAGCAAGTGTGTCACCTGCCCTGGCAAGCTGTTGTGCGCAGACCTCTGGGCAAGGCAGTGGCGATGCATTCAAGGAAAGGAGAAGGGAATGGAGAGACTCGTGCTCGCTAAGTGCCTGCTGTACGTCACGTGCTTTCGGTATAGAAGGTTATGTGAGCCTAACAGTAACCATCTGAGGTAAGTGAGCAGGATCAGTTGTCCATTGTCACAGAGTCTGGGAAAGGTAGACTGTGCCCTCCAGGACCCCACAGTCTCCTGGAGTCTGCTGGAGTGCTGTCAAAAGGGGAAGGTACCTTTGGGAATTTTATGTTGTCCAGTGTGGCCCATCATTGTTTGATCTGAATGCTCTGTTCTAGTGGGTACTCTTGAATGGTGGCCACCCTAGGTAGTGCCCACCACTTTGTAGGGGCCTCCATGAGTTGCATGTGTGTGTGAAGCAAAGGGTGGCAGGATGCAGCCAGCAGCCTCCACACCATGATACAGAAACAGCATATAGGTGCTGGGGATGTGATGCTTAGGGCACTCTTAAAAAGTGCAAATGCAACATGGCTCTTAAAGGATTAGTCTGATGCAAAATGCTGTCCCCCTCCCCTCCCCCGCCCCAAGAAAAAATCCCACATGACCCAGTAAGTGCCACTCTAGCTAACTGACAAAGTCAAAGCACAGAAGCAAATTTTGCAAAATTGGAAAATAGAGATGCTGACAAACTAGAGATTCCAGGCAGGTCTAAATTAGAAATTGGCTGAGGGGGAGAAAAAGTGATGAGGCCCCTAATGGATTCCAGTGAGAATTCTTTAATTCACAGGCCTAATAGACCAGCAGTAGCAAAGGGCCTTGGGGAGGAATATGCATTTACCAAGTAAGGGGATGGCTCAGTTCTGTTTAGTACAAACAGATGGGTGGCTGAGGTGTACAACTAGCAAGCTAGTTGGGACAGGGTGCCTAGTTTACCCTCAGCTCTAGACAATCCTCTTCCTTCTCTTTATTGTCTTTCACCTTCATCCCATCTTCTGGACCTTTTGCTGGGTCTGTGAACCAAGACTGATCACCTGGCCCTCAGCACATTATGGATCAGGGCCCTTAGTAGGAAAGGACTCTGGCCACACTGCTTTTGTGCACAGCTGTGCTATTGCTGCTGGTGTGTCTGGAGGAGGTCAGAGCAGAGGCTGTTGGCAACTTTGGTTTGAAGGTGGTCTTTCCACAGATCCCCCCTGACATGATGCTTTCATCTTATTTGTCTGCCTTTGGTTTTAAAATCTTAAAATCCTAACTTGATTGTATTTATATTTGTGTCATATTTTTGGCCTGGCACATGAAGATTGGACAGGGTCACACAAATATTTAGAATCAGAATGCTTGAAGAGAAAGAAACCTTGGAGGTCAGCCATTCTAATGGCCTGACTTGGCTTCATTCTGGTGTCTGTCTTGAGAAGCAAGGACCCTACAGGTGCGAAGGAAGGATAGGCAAGAAGACAGCAAATACTATATTTTTTGTGCCAAGACAGGAAAAAAAAGAAACACCGAAGGGCTTTTTTGAAAATCTGAATGGCCAAGAAAAGCTATAGTACTATATAGTAAGTGGACCTCATGTCATCTGTTGTCAGCCATGAGAAGTGACAAGTCCTCTGTCCCTGCAAGATTGTTAGTACCCAGCCATATCAGTGCACTGGACAGAAGTACCTGTGGGCACAGAAGTGACACAGCTTTTATCCTTGAGGATCAGAGCAACCTCAGGAGATGCATCAGTCCTTTCTCCCAGTGCCTCCCGGGCTGGGGGTGAAGCACAAGTGAGAAAATGTATGGGATAGCTCTTTATACACTTTGGATTGACTCATCCAAAGGCAGAGTGTGGAGGGCATGGTATTCTCTGGTCTGCTGCACCCTCCCCATACCCCCTCCATAGAAAACACAAGCCCTGCCAGCTCTCCTCCTGACCCCTGTGCTAGGTGATACTGCCATGGCCAGCATGGCCCAGACTGCCCTTTCTTCTGGATACAGCCTGAACAGCATTTGTTCTTTTCAGTGAGCAGTTATTTCGATTTCAACAAATTCAAAAGTTGGGAGTTTTCATAGTCTGTGTTCCCTGCCACTGCTGTTCTCTTGTTCAGGTGGTAGTGAGAATCTGCTTAGCACTACTTTTGAGCATTGTGCATCCCAGTGCCCAAGAATGCTTTCCTGCCCTGCAATGATACAGGCTCAGCATCTTTCCCAAGCTCTAGAGGCTCACTTTCTGCTAATTAGCAACTCATGGCCAGCTTGCAACATTACGGAAAATGCCCACATTTTATCATGTAAAAACTATAGCTCTGGGCATCATTTAACTATATGACACTCAGTGATATCTGCTTTTGGCAAAGTTCTGTAAATGTGTTTTTGAAAGTCTTAAAGTAACAGGAATACCTGGCGAATATGTACCAGCTTCACCGTGGTGTACCAAGCTCCCTCACCAGCTCCCTCAGTGTACCAAGCTTCACCGTGCCTTCCCATAAACATTGCTAACCCCTCTCTTCTACACGTCAGATCTACATTTTAGCTGAAGTCTGGTCTTGGTTTTAATGGTCTTTGCTGTCAGTGGATTTTTTTTTAAGTTTATTTATTTTGATAGAGAACAAGCTGGGGAGGGGCAGAGAGAGAGGAGGACAGAGGACCTGAAGCAGACTCTGCTGAGAGCAGAGGGCCGGAACTGGAACTGTGAGATCATGACCTGGGCTGAAGTTGGATGCTTAACCAACGGAGCCACCCAGGTGCCCTATGATATATTGCCTTCTGCGAGCACGCTGTCAGTGGATGTTAAAGCGGTGTTCAAAACTCACCACACGTATCAATGGTGTCTTTGCTAATAAGTTTTGCTAATTAACATTCTAGGTATGGATAGGCTTTTGCATACAAGTATAAATCTATGAGGGAGAAACAGATACGTGCTCTGGAATTAGTTCGGTGGAGATGGGACTGGGAAGGGCTCATGAAGGTTAGGAGCTGCATTCCTTTGCTGTCTTGCTGTGCACTGGGTATGCATACACATGTATATGGTGCCCGGGGCCTGCCTGAGGGCTTGCCCTCAGTCCAGTCAGCCTAAAGCTTGGCCTTTTCATTTGGTTTCCTTTTTTAATTGATGTATCCTAGCCTGAAAAGTTCTCAGAGTTAAACATGAGCTCTATACATTTGCATCCTTTACTGTGGACAGTGGGACTGCTAATGCTCTTTAATTCTTTGGGGCAGGGGGTCTGCCTATGACCAGGACTGCCACAGCTATGTCTCCATGCGGCCATTGCTGAAATGAACCCAGTGAAGGCTTTTTCACTGGCTCCTTCATTTTCACTACCAAATCCCTCTGGTTTTATTTCCTGAGCCAAAATATTACCCTGCATTTGATGTGTGTGGCAGGCAGGAACTGCTTTTCTACCACCT